TGTATTCGCTTGGAGCCATTTAGACATGCCAGGGATCGACCCCTCAGTCTCTTGCCATTCTCTTAATGTAGATCCGAGCATCAAGCCAGTGAGGCAGAAGCAGAGAAGGTTTGCCCCGGAGCGTAACCAGATCATTGTAGACGAAGTGAATCGATTGTTAAAGGCTAGGTTTATTAGAGAAGTACAGTACCCAGTCTGGTTGTCGAACGTGGTTGTAGTGTAAAAGAAGAATGAAAAATGGAGAGTTTGCATTGATTTCACCAATCTGAACAAAGCCTGCCCGAAGGATAGTTTTCCACTTCCAAAGATTGATCAAATGGTGGACGCAACAACTGGGTATGAGCGGTTGACCTTTCTGGATGCTTATTCAGGCTATAATCAAATCCCAATAGACCCAAGCGATGAGGAAAATACCTCTTTTGTCACTGAACGAGGGATCTATTGCTACAAGGTCACGTCATTTGGATTGAAGAATGCTAGAGCCACGTACCAGAGGTTAGTTAGCAAGATTTTTAAGGATCAAATGGGCAAAACAGTGAAGGCTTATATCGACGACATGGTGATAAAAAGTAAATAGAAGGACCATCATTTAAAGCATTTACAAGAGGTGTTCAGCGTACTAAGAAAGTATGGAATGAGGCTGAATCCAACTAAATGCTCGTTCGGCGTCGGATCCGGGCAATTCCTTGGCCACGTGGTCAACAACAGAGGAATTGAGGTTAGTCCAGCCCAAGCGGAAGCTTTGCTAAAAAATGTTGAACCAAACACTATCAAAGAAGTCCAAGCTCTCACTGGATGCATAGCGGCACTGAGTCGATTCTTGTCTAAGTTATCCGACCGATGCAGACCATTCTTCGATACAATCAGGGGTCAAGGAAAACAGTCTTGGGGGGATGAACAGAGGCAAGTGCTGATCAAGTTGAAAGAATATATGTGGAACCCACCAATCTTGAATGCCCCAGAGCCTGACGAAAAGCTTTTCTTGTACCTTGGAGTTTCTAACATTACAACCAGTGGTGTGCTGATACAATGTGCCAAGGGTAAGTAGTTCTCGGTTTTCTTTGTAAGCAAAACGTTGACCGAACCAGAGAGAAGGTATTCAAAGGCCGAACGAGTAATCTTATCCTTGGTAAACGTAAAGAGGAAGCTTAGGCAATACTTCGAGTCCCATCCTATAGTCGTTCTGACCACATTTCCTATAAGGGTGATCCTGCATAAGCCTAATTTGTCCGGATGGATGACGAAGTGGGGAATAGAGCTTAGTTATTTTGACATAACGTATGAACCCCGAACGGCTATTAAAGGGCAAGCTGTGGCTGATTTCTTACTGGAGTGTGACGTGGATGAGCCAGATGAATGTCTCGAAGAATCGTCATGGAAGCTCTTCGTTGATGGCTCCTCAAATCAGATGGGGGCAGGAATCGGGGTCAAGTTACAAACACCAGAAGGCACTACGTTGAGCCAAGCAATCAGGCTTGAGTTCAGAGCAACCAACAATAAAGCAGAGTATGAAGTGTTGTTGGCTGGGTTAAGGTTGGCCAAGCAGCTAAAAGTCAAAAGTTTAGTCGCCTTCAGTGATTCGCAGTTAATAATTTGGCAAGTGACTGGGGAATATAGAACAAAGGATGAGACAATGGAGGCATACCATTCCGCCGTTATGCATGAGGCTAGAAGTTTTGATCAGATCAAGTTCATTCAATTGCCGAGGGAGCGTAATAAAGATGCCAATCGGTTGGCCAGCAGTGCGTCAAGCTCAGGTGGAATATTAGCAAGGGTGATTCTAATTGGGGTGTTATGCCAGCCATCGATCCTTGAGGAACCGTCAAGCTCGGATCCCTGGCAGGTGAATGTCATACCATATGAGCTGAGTTGGATAGATCCAATTATTGCTTATATACGAGATGGTGTTTTGCCTGAACAGAGGGATGAAGCAAGAAGGATCAGATCGAATGCTACAAAATATGCCACAGTGCACAACTAACTATACAGGAGGTCTTATTTAGGACCTTACTTAAAATATGTAACCCCTGCAGAAGCTCAGCAGATACTGCGGACTATCCACGAAGGGGTTTGTGGCAATCATTCAGAGGGAAGGTCTCTAGCACACAAAGCGATGACATAGGGGTACTTTTGGCCGAACATGTCACGAGACGCAGAGGAATTTTTGAGAAGGTACGATAAGTGTCAAAGGTTCGGACCACTGATCCACCAACCACCAGAAGATTTACACGTAATGGCCAATCCATGGCCTTTCGCGCAATGGGGGATGGATGTGGTTGGCCCATTACCGACCGCCAGATCACAAAATAAATACGTTCTACTTACAACAAACTACTTTACCAAATGGGTGGAGGCAGAACCGTATCCCAGTGTGACTCAGACCCATGTGAGACACTTCATTTTGAATAATATAATTTGTCGATTTGGGTTGCCGAGGTCGATAGTCATGGATAATGGGACTAACCTTAATAACAAGCAGGTGAGGGAGTTGCTGGAAGAATATGGAATTAATAAAAAGTTAGCAGCAGTCGGCCATCCACAAGCGAATGGTTAGGCTGAGATCACAAACAGAACGATTTTTGCTTGCATAAAGAAGAAGCTTGAGAAAGAAAAAGGGAAGTGGTTGGATGAACTCCCGAACGTCCTGTGGGCGTATAGAACGACTCCAAGGTGACCGATCGGAGAGAGCCCATTCGTCATGGCATATGGTACTGAGGCAGTAATACCGATAGAGCACCAAGTTCCTACCTTACGAAGCCTAGCGTAGAATCAGGAGCAGAATGATCATATGTTGAAATTCAACCTCAACTTGCTTGAAGAGAAGATGAATGCTGCAATAATAAGGCTTGCATCATATCAGCAGACGCTCATGAACAGTCATAAAAGAAAAGTGAGGCATAGGGGTTTTTGCACCTGGTGATTTGGTTCTGAAAAGAAAAGTTAGTATTATCAAGAAAATGGTGTCACATTGGGAAGGACTGTATAGAGTTGTAGAAGTTATAGGAAAGGGGGCATACGTCTTGGAGACCATGGCTGGGAGGCTAGTAAACAAGCCTTGGAACGCCACCTCTTTAAAAATGTATTATCAATGAAAATTGAGTTTCAGTTTAACTAATGTTTACCTTCAATTGAATACTTGCGAGAGGGCAAAACTTCGAAAGATTTATAAAGAGTATCATTTTCTTCCAATAAGGTGACTGAGTATAAGCAAAGCTAATTGGCAAGTGGCATTCTAGCCGAGAGCCAGGCACTTAAATAATGTAAGTGGCAACTGGCGTTACGAGCCAAACGCCAAACACTTGCTAAAAGATAATGAAAAGCTAAGTGGCAAGTGGCATTCTAGCCGGGCGCCAGGCACTTAAGCAAAGTAAGTGGCAACTAACACTACGAGCCGAATGCCAAACACTTGCTAAAAAATAATGAAAAGCCAAGTGGCAAGTGGCATTCTAGCCGAGCGTCAGGCACTTAAGCAAAGTAAGTGGCAACTGACACTACGAGCCGAACGTTAAACACTTGCTATAAAATAATGAGAAGCCAAGTAGTAAGTGGCATTCTAGCCGAGCGCCAGACACTTAAGCAAAGTAAATGGCAACTGGCACTACGAGCCGAACGCCAAACACTTGCTAAAAAATAATGAAAAGCCAAGTGGCAAGTGGCATTCTAGCCTAGCGCCAGGTACTTGAGCCAAGTAAGTGGCAACTGGCACTATGAGCCGAACACCAAACACTTACTAAAAAATAAAAAGTCAAGTGGTAAGTGGCATTCTAGTCGAGTGCCAGGAGATGGGTACAAAGATTACTACCAAATGATACAAAGATTGAGATCGGATGTAGTAAAAAATTATCCTTTTCATTCACGATAAATTGAAGATAACAAAGAGTATCATAAGGAGATGGGTACAATCAAGTTCCGTTTGTCTCCTCGTTCACCTGTTCACCCTCGATAGCCTCCTCACAGTTGCTAGCATTCACTTCCCCATCATTAGCAACGGTATCTCTGCGAGGGGGGGAGTCAAGCTGGATCACCATTTCATTTTGCTGAGTTCCGCCCTCAGTAGCGGACACAAGAGGAACCACAATAGAGAGAGGAGGTATGTCTAAAGGCTGAGCAGGAAGAGGGATAGGGATAACTCTAGATAAGGCAATCCCCTCACATTCTTCAAAGATGTGTTGGGCAGGAGTGGGGTCTGGATCAGCATAGACTCCTAGAGAATCAATTTCCAGCTCTTTGTCAACATCCGGGCCTGTGCCTAAAATGGTCTGACCTTCAGCAGGAAGGCGATCGTTGAAACCCTCTCGGTATCCCTCAGCATACCTGAGGACCCCAATGTAGGAGAAACGACTGTGCAAAGCCATCATCCCTCTATTGACCCTGCCGATGACACTGAGCAGGGCATTACGCTCATCCAGAGCCCTCTTTTCAAAGGCCATGTGCTCTGCTTGTTTGTTATGAAGCAGGCGCTGAAGATTGTCTCTTTTGGCCTTGAGCGCTTCGCACTCGGTCTGCCAGACGCTCTTCTCAATCTGAAGGGCGTCTTTTTCATCTTAAAGGGAGTCTGCTTCCTTTTTCAGACCGTTCATTTCTTTCTCAACCTTGTTCAGCTGCACTATTAATTCAGCATTCTTAGTGCCAATGATGTTATTCTCCTTGGTGGATGCTTCAAGGCTATTGGCGAACTTGTGCGCCTTAACGTTGGCAGCCTCAACATGTTTTTGCATGGCTATCATACCAAAGAGAGTCTATAAAACAATACGTGAGTCCTAATTAAGCCGAATGTATGTCTAGAGGAATTATAATATAAAGACATTTTTAAATGCAATAAGGAGGAGGGTAGGGAATTACTTCTATAGCTGCAAGAGGAAAACAGCCGAAGACCTCCTTCTGAGATAGAGATTTTGTGACCTCAATGTCTTTAGGTGACCACATGTTTTTGTAGTAGGCCATAGCTGTTGGACCTTCTCTGAACATGGTTTCACTCGGCTTCACTACCGAGCAGTCAGCTAGGACGAATCTGGGGGTCCACGGAGCCTCTCTAGAGGAAGAACTGGTGGCAGGGCGGACTCGGAAGGAGCAGTTGGTTTGACCTGAGGAGGGATAAGCAAACTTAGCCCGGAAGTTTGAATCCTCCTTGCTAGAAGAATTTCATCAAGGTTGTCTTCGCTTTCAGGCTGAGGCCTTTTTCCTCGTTCTTTGTCCTGAACGGATGCACTAGGGGTAGTGGTACTCCGAACTCCAGGGGCAGAGTTCTGGTTGACAGGTGGAGCGGTGACGATTGGACGAACAGTCACCACGTTCGGGGTAGTGCTGGAAGTGATGGCAGATGAAGATGCCGAAGCTGGGGAGGAAGAAGCTGCGGAAGCAGCGATGACCCTGGGAGGATCATTCCTCTTGCTGAAGGATGGAATCCGAAGCTGACTCATTGTGGTGCCAAGGAAAGAGATATCATTTAAATTCTCGGATGTGAGGAATTCCGAACAGGAGGGGATGTCGTTCAGAACGTAGTCCTTCAGATAATTGAACCTATCCCTGTAAACGTTGTAACTAAGTTCGTTATGACCCTGGTGGTGGCAGATGAAGATGCCGAAGCTGGGGAGGAAGAAGCCGGGGAAGCAGCGATGACCTTGGGAGGATCTTTCCTCTTGCTGAAGGATGGAATCCGAAGCTGACTCATTGTGGTGCCCAGGAGAGAGATATCACTTAAATTCTCGGATGTGAGGAGTTCCGAACAAGAGGGGATGTCGTTCAGAACGAAGTCCTTCAGATAATTGAACCTATCCCTGTAAACGTTGTAACTAAGTTCGTTATCCTGCTAGATATCCAAAGAATTGCAAAGAAACGAACAGAAGCGAGGAATGCAAGTTTCACAAGGGCAATCTGTCTTATGGGTTTTGAATTTCTTATAAGAAGACATGGAGCATTTGCCGAAGGCGGTTGGGATAGGATAATCCTTGGCAGCCGAAGCAAACCAAGCCCCCCGAACGCCAATAATGCCTTTTTTCCACCCCTTCTCGGAATTAAGTTTGTCCGTACAGATGGATCTTTTCTCAATAGGGTAAAAATGGTAATGTTCGTCCTCCAACCTAATCTTGCTGACCTTGTAACAGAGGAGAAGATCAACTAAGTTAAGATCTATGCCTCTGTCACGATTCAGAAGCAGCAAAACGGACAGAACCTGATGAGCACTGAAAAGTGCGTATTTAAACCCCTTAAGCTTAGGCATTCTAGTACCTTTATCTATCTTACTTTACCATTTTAGATTGATTTCATATTATTTTCATTTTCAGGCACTTATCCCGAAAATAAGCTAACTCAGCTAAATAAGAGCTTAATTGAAGCAATTCTGAGATTAAACAAAGAAAGGAGCAAAGTGGAGGAAGAAAGAAGCAAAATGAAGCAAAGCAGCAAGTTCGATCGATCTAAGTCCAAGGTTTGATCGATCAAACATTGATCGATCTCAGCACTTCAAGATAGATCCAAGCCTTGACCCAAAAACATAAAGTTCCAAAAGTTCGATCGATCCAATACCATCCTTCAATCTATCGAACACTTTTGTCCTTATTCAAATGATTGATCATATCCACAGCTGTACCACCCACTAACCACTTTTGTTGTTTTCCCATAAATATCTCCCATAACTATCTCGGATTTGTCTTTTTCTAAAAAGCTCAACCAGTTGGATCGATCTAGCCTAAGTTCGATCGATCCACTTATTTTCGATCGATCAAACTTCCTCTAATGCGAAAAAGTTAAAATTCCATCTCATTGAAAGTTGTCCTTTATCCAATCATTAGGGAATATTGTGTGCACGACCCCAGCTTATTTTGGGTGTCATTTTGACCAACCTATATAAGGATAAGGATTGCTTTGTCAAGGAGGAGCCAACATTATTTTCATATCATCTCTTGAAGAGGAAGCTTAGAGGAGGAGGAGGCTAGAGACACCATTGGAGACTCTTCATCAACAAGGAGCAGATTTCAACCATGGAGTTAGCCCTTGAGGGTTGGAGCATCATCACCATGAGTGGCTAGACATCCTCTTGGGGTTAGAGTTAGCCCCAAGCATGCTTTCTATATCTTAATCTTGTGTATTATTGAGGGATTAGCGTTATAATTAATGTTTTGACATTTTGATTTATATAGATCTTGTTTAATCAATGATTTATGTGGTTTAATGCTTTCAATTGATCATTTCATTCTATCCATATGTCTATGTATGTTAGAATAGATATTCATGTGCTTATTTCTAGATTTTGTGTTGTTGATGCATGTCTATGTGTATTGATGCCATAAATTTAAAGGTTGTCAAAACACAATGCTTAAAGGAATGTTCTTGTGATTCTCTAGATGGTTCATGCTCATATCTTGATGGATTGTGTCTCATTCTTAGCTAAATTAGTTTAATTTCAATGGTTTAATTGTAGTTTAGTGATAGTATAATATTAGGTGGGAAGACAATCCATGCTAGTTGTTTGATGCTCCATACTTTTGAATGCAAGTAGCATATGTCTCTAATTTTGTGTTATGCATGGTTGTGAGTTCAATGAAAAGGATCAATGATTTGCTAGATATGTTGTGTTTTTCACATGCTATTTAGACAATATATACTTAATTGCTAGATATATTGTGTTTTTCACATGTTTGTTAGACAATGTATGCTTAATTAGTCATCCTTGCTTGTTGAATCAACCAAATACACACACACCAATATTGCAACACCCTAATTGCCCTCATTAATCACTTGTCAATAATATAGAAATGCATTGCTTGGTGGTGATCTCTAAACCCCAAGACTCTTCTCTCTCTCTTACTTACTCTCCATTGCGTTCAATTACTTAGTCTAATTTAGTTGCTCTTTAATTTAATCAACTAACCAATCAGTTGTTTGATCACTCGACCTACTAACCCTAATAGCGATTCCACAATCAACTCCGACTCCAATCCCTTGGGACGATCCCTACTCACCCTAACTATATTTATAGTGAAAGGTAGTAGTGGCTTTTACAAATGTAAAACTTGGCCCTCGCCTAAATTGCACACTTCTCCAAGCTTGTGGTCACCGTGACCTACAATATAAGGACCAACAAGTTTTTGGCGCCGTTACCGGGGATTAGGCAACGTCGTAGTTGTGGAATCAATTAGGAATTAGTATTCTTTTGATCGTGTCTTTACTTGTTTCATTTTTCTTTTGGTTACTTATTGTGTTTGTTCATATTTGACAAGGAGCATTGAGCAAGAAGGCAAGCAAAGGAACATCCAAGTAAAGAAGCTAAGCAAAGAAAGGAAAAATGCTAAAAACTTAAAAATTGCTAAGCTAAGCTTTAAATTTGGAGTTGAAGTGCTAAAAGGCCTTTATGAGACTTTCTTTACTCAATCCCTTAGTTAAATCGTCGTCCCACGTGGAGGCAAGTTTTTAAATTCTTAGATAGATTGTGAGCCCGCGTGGAGGCAATTTACTTTTCTTTGCATGTTGTTCAAGTATGGGAGTGTGGGTAAAATGTATGTGGAGGAAGTTTGTTGATGGTTGATTTGTTGCAAAGGGGGAGAGCTTGCTTGTTTTGTGGTGATTTGTGTGTCATTTGTAGTCTTATGTAAACCTCGCCATACCATTCATGCTAGGCATTCACATGGAAAATCTAGAGGGTAATCGTGGCTACTTAGACCCACGTTTCATGCAAAACCCACCACTTAATCAATATGGCCCCGGAGTCCAAGCTCCAATTCCTCCAATGGTCCTTCGTGATCATTATAATCTTCATGCATACCATACACCTACTTGCATTGTGTTGTCTAATTTTGAGACTAATCAATATGAAATCAAGCCCGAGACCATTCAAATGTGTCCACTCTTTTATGGCTTAGATGAAGAGGAACCATATAGGCATCTTAATGAATTTCTTGAACTATGTTCCACAGTGAGGTACATAAATGTCCCGGAGGAAGTTCTTAAACTACTCATCTTCCCTTTCACACTTAAAAACAAAGCAAAACATTGGTTCAATACTTTAAGGGTAAATTCAATCACATCTTGGGCGCAAATGCAAAATGAGTTTTTAAAAAAAATTTACCCCGTAAATTTGACCAATGTAATGTGTGCTTCAATTAGAGAATTTTCTCAAAGGGAAGAAGAGTTATTGCATGAGGCTCAGGAGAGATTGAATAACTTACTAAAAAAGTGTCCACATCATGGCATTCTAAAATGGCAAGTGGTCCAATACTTCTATGAAAGCCTATCCGATATGCAAAAGGACATTGTTGATACCTTATGTGGAGGCTCATATTTTGGGAAACATAAAGACGACATTTGGCACCTCTTTGAGAAAATGAGTGAGAATTCTTTGCACAAACATTACATTTCTCGGTTCGATCGTCATTCTAAGGAAGAAAGTGAAAAAGTTTGCTAAATTGAAAGTTCAAGGGAAATTGTAGCCGAAGTTAAAACTCTTTCTCAAAAACTTGATCAATTCTTGTTAAGTCAAAGACCGGCTACCAATTCATTCCCTCTTCATCATTTTTCTCAATCTTGTGAGCCTTGCATGACATGTTCAAGTGTTCTACATACTACTTCCAATTGTCCCAATGGACATGTGTTTAATGAACATTTTGAATAAGTCAATGCTACATTTGCTCGACCTTATTCAAGTGCATATGTCCCAAAGTGGAATGAGAGTCCCAGTCCTTACCCAATCAAAAATTTTCAAAGTAAATACATTCCACCTTAAAAGAGGAATGGAGGGTCCCAAGGAATTGTTTCTTCTTCTCATCACCAAAGAATGAACCACGTTTCACATCCTTAAATGTATGACTCCCAAGTTGACACTCATTATCCTCATGCATTCTCTAGCAATTCAACATTTGAAGATAAGGTTTTGGTAGCTTTGGATAGCTTAGAAATGAATACCAACTTGTTGCATTCCCATTCTCAATCAATTTCAAAGCTTGAATCCTAAATCGGGACTATAGCTAATGCATTGAATGCAAGAGAGGTTGGAAAATTACCTAGTCAACCCGAGAGAAATCCAAAGGCCCAATTTTGTGTGGAAGCAAACCCTACATCGGGTGTTCTTCCCAAGCTTAAGCGCAAGCCATCACTACTTTGAGAAGTGCCAAGCAAGTGGATAATAGGGTTGAACTACCGAAAGAAGATAGTGAATCAGTGCAACCTAAATTTGTCACCCATTCGATTCCCAATCTCACTCTTATTTCCTTGAATGAAACTATTCCTAACCAGAATTCTCAATCTTCTCCATCATCCTCTCAAATTACAAAGTCTTGTGAGCCAAAAGCTCCATTCCCTTATGCTTTAAAAGAAACTTCACCTTTAGGGAAGCAAGAAGGGAAAACACATGACATGATTGAAGTTTTTAAGCAAGTCAACATCAATCTTCCTCTTTTGGATGCCATTAAACAAATCCCACCTTATGCAAAATTCTTGAAAGATCTTTGCACACAAAAGAGGAAGAGCAAGGGTCCAAGCCCTAAAAAAGTGTTCTTCACGGAGCAAGTGAGCTCCATTCTTCAACAAAACACTCCACTTAAGTTCACAGATCCTGGTGCTCCGACTACTTCTTGTGTAATTGGAACACATGAAATTCGTAGAGCTTTTCTTGACTTAGGTGCAAGTGTTAACTTGATTCCTTACTTCGTATATGTCTAATTAGGGTTGAATGATTTGAAGCCAACCTCGGTGGTACTTCAAATGGCCGATGGATCCGTCAAAACACCTTGGGGCATGGTAGTGGACATCCTTGTAAAAGTAGATAAATTCTACTTTCCGGTAGATTTTGTAGTTCTTGATACTGAACCGGTT